GAGAGAGAGAGAGAGAGAGAGCGAAAGAGAGCGAGAGAGAGAGAAAAAACTATGAAATAAATAATAATAATAATTAATTAATTCAAATTCAAATTCAAATGCATTTTGTATATATTATTATTATTAGTGTTGTCTTTTGCTCACGCGTTAGAGCAGTGATGAGAATTTTTTTTTTTTTTAAGTGATACTTTTATCTTTATAAAAAAAAAGAAAAACATTTGAATTAATTCCAAAAAATGAATAACGAATAAATAATGTAAACTTTTAAGAATGAAAGAAGAAAAGAAGAGAAGAGAAGAACAATTTTTTATGATAATAATTTTCAAGTGTATTTATTTAGAGTTAATAAAATAATAAACAAACAAATAAAAAGAAGAAAAAAAAAACAAATAATAAAAATCCCACCACCATATAAAAAAAAAAAAAAGATAAAAATAAAAAAATCAATAGTATGTACACACACACACACACACATGATGTATCCCATCAATTTAATTTGTTGTTGTTGAGAGAAGAACTGTCCCGTTATATATATATATATAAATTAACATATTATCCAATTTTCTTTTTTCATTTCTTATTTAAGATCGTGCAATTGATACTTGTAAAAATCGTTATTATAAACAAGTATTTATTGTATATAAAAAAAAAATAATAATAATAATAATAATAATAATGAAGAATTTATTCAAATTGAACGTTACCATTTTAAATTAATTTTAAAAGAGATGAAAATAATATGAATAATTTCGGTACTTAGATATATAATTAAAAAAAGAAAAAAAAAACGAGAAAATATATATATATATATAAATAAATATCTATATATATATATATATATATATATATATAATAATAATAATAATAGTAGTAATAATGATAATGATAATAAATAATAATAATAATGCGGCTTTATCTATCTATCCCTCTTCTCAAAATATTATTACTGTATAATTTGTCATATATAAAAATGAAGAATTATTTCATCATTGATTGATTTTTTTTCTTTTTTATCTCAATATGATGATAGATTAATTACAACGCACAAATATTATATATATATATATATATACAGAGATCGTTATACATGTCTCATATGTTTGACCAAGAAATAATAAAAATAAATATATATATATATATATATCTATGAATATATTTAAAAAAATAAAAAAAAAAAATAATTAAAAACGAAAAATAAACGTTTTGTTAAAAATGAAAAACGTACCTTAGTAATTATTTTGTCTCTATCTTCACATAATACCATAAATAATAAATAATAATAATAATAATAATAATAATAATTGCACTTCGTATTATCGCCGCATCTCTTTCTATGTACTAACCATACATCATAAATGCTTTAAAAAAATGATAATTGTCATATAAATACGCTTATAAATATACTATATATATATATAGTATATATAGGAGAGAGAGAGAGAGAGAGACAGAAAACAAGGCTTATTTTTAAAAATTAATTATTAATTAATAAATGTCGTTGCTATGTTGTTTTCATTATTTTATGCTTAAGCTTGTGGTGATGGGTAAATTATAACAACCAAAAAAAAAAAGAAAAACAATGTTCTCACGTTTTATTTATTTCTCGTTTTTCCCCCTATTTTCCTCCACCCCCCCCCCTCTTTATTTGTTGTCTATCATGCGTACACACTAACACACACATACACAACACACAAACATGTACATACATACATAGATATATATGTAATTATGCACGTGCATGTTGTATAATAAGTGGCTTCTGTATATCGTATTGCGTTACGTACAGCATGACGCATATTACTTTCCCCCTACCCCCTGCCCCCTACCCTGCCTCTTCTCTCCCACCCCTCCCCTTCCCCTCTCAATAACACACGTGTCTTCTATCATTTATTGAATTTTATACCTTTTATCATCATGAACGAATGAAAATGATTTTTCTTGTCCCAAATTAAAAAAAAAAAAAAAAGAAATGTTGTGTGTCCTGCCCCTCCCCTCCCCCATCCCCTTCCCCTCTCAATGACACACGTGTCTTCTATCATTTATGGAATTTTACCTTTTATCATCATGAACGAATGAAAATGATTTTTCTTGTCCCAAATAAACCAAAAAAAAAAAAAAAAAAAAAAAACCAAGAAATGTTGTGTCATATGTTAATTTTTTTTTTCTGAATGATTGCTTTCATTCACCATTCGTTGAAATCACCCAATCCCCTTTATAATTTATAAAATGACGCTTTTGTATCATAATAATATATATCATCTCGTTAAATTATAATTATTAATAATTGATTAAGAGAGAGAGAAAGAAAGAAAGAGAGAGAGATATATATATATATATATAAGATGTTAGAAATATTTGACAATAATTAATCCCTTTGAGTATTAAATTATTGAAAGATTTTGATGCATATTAATATAACGAATTTAATTTGTTGGCTATATATATATATATATATATATATATATATGAATTAATATGTCAAAATAATAATACACATTTTATTTTAATATATATATATATATATTTATATATTTATATTGGTTGTGATATAAATATATTTATTTTGTGTTTGTGTGCAATAACATTTCAATTACAAAATATATAAATAAATGAAACAACAAAAAATAGAAATATTAATATATATTTATATAATCAAGTTTCTTAAATTCAGATGAACGAGAGTCAGACACTCGTCGTCCCACCGTAATAATAACTCGCGACCAAAATTGAAAATATATTGTCAAATATAAATGATTAAAGTTGTTATACTTTGTAAAAAAAAAAAAGAAAAAAAAGCAAAAACAAAAAAAAAATATTTAATAATAATTGCATGATTTAATCGATTAATCGATCAATATTATACAATTCATATTTCATTGTTCATTATTGATTTTAGGAAAGGCATACGTCCAGTCATCACAAGAGTACCAGCAAAATCTCACAAAATCAACAATCCCATGCTACGTAGTACCGAGAAATCCGGATAAAACGGCATCAATAAAGCAGAACTTTCATTAGGATATATAAATATTTATATATATATATATATATATAAATATAATTATAATTATATATATATCTATATATATATATATATAAATATATATATTTCATTACAAAATACACATATATACATATATATGTATGATATGTATATATATATATATTACTCGTCGAAGAAGTGCCCTGATCGTCGATATGCGTCCCAATTCGGAAGTCATCATCTTTCAAATTGTGTTGTTGTAGTATTTCCTCAATCGCTCAACAAAATGTGGCGACAGAATGAAAGAAAGAAAGAAACTCTCGCGTAACAAAATTGAAATATGTATTTCGTTATTTTTACGACGATGATAATGTTAATTAACAATAACAATGGCGACTGCGACAAACGATGGAAACGAATGTGACGATGATAACGACGACCACACCAACATTTCATTGAAATCAAACTGGATCTGTCTGTCGTCTCTCTTCTCTCTTTTAGGAGAATGAGATGATGATCGATTTCTTGCTGATCGATTGTGAATGGTAATACAAGTTCTTGTAAAAAAAAAAAAGAGAAAGGAGAATGTTTTCTTTTCAATGAAACATGTCGTGTCGATATCATCATCATCGTTTTTTTCTTTTTCTGTATAAATCAATTCAAATGTTGAGATATGATGTTCCGTTCTTATGTTGTATTTCTCTCTTCTGCGTATGCGATGATGATGATGATAATGATAATGATAATGATAAGGATAATGATAATGATAATGATGATGATGACTATTATTATTATTATTTGTATTTTTAATTTAATTAGAATATTATTGTTCTCTCTCTAAAATACATTTTTACATGTATACATAAATTAAAAGAAAAAAATCCTCTTCTCATCCCCAAAGAGAGAAAAAACATTTAAAAAAAAAAAAAAAAAAAAAATAACAAAAAGTTTATATTGACGCTTACATAGCAAACAAAATGGACGCGTGTAGAGAAAATTACAAGTTAGACAATGTTAAACAATGTTTAAATATCACATTGAAAAGGGGGGGATGCTTCTTTGAACACACACACACACACACACACAAAATACAACAATATTATTAAATAGAAGAAAAAAAAGAAAAAAAAAAACATTTAGAGAGTAAATGAGGAGAAATAAATGATAAGAAGAAAGAAAGAAAGAAAAAAAAAAAAAAGGATATTCTTACTCAGGTCGAATTAGATCGCGATAGTTTAATTAAGTGAAACAAAAAAAATAAAAATAAAAATAAAAATAAAAAAATTAATAAGCGGCTTTACTTCGATTCTAGTTCGCATATTTACATGTTTCGTTTTTTTTTTTTTTTCATTTTTTTTTTTTCCATTGCGAACCAGACTCTCCTCTCTTTCAAACTATTTCTATATATTAGTTCATTCGAATTACAATAATATTATATACATATATATATATAAATATATAATAGTTCCTCATTTAATTAAATCAATTATATTTCATTGATTTTTTTTTATTAAACAAAATGTTACGAGGCTTTTAACATAAAACAATTTCAAAATTGTCCTAATTATATAAATTAATTGTAATAACGTTGTTAACTCCAAATTATTATTATAATTATTATGAAAATTAATCGAGGATACTACTTGTAAATATTCTCACAAGGGTGTTTACTTGCTTGCTTGATATTTTTACTGTATTTATTGCATTTTTGATATATATATATATATATATATATATATATATATATATATATATCATTTAATTCGTACAAATATCCTTATACCTGTTAGAATATTGTGTATCGTTCACTTTATATACATATATATATATATATATATACATGTATCTGTATATATATAATGGATTATTATAAACAATAAATCATTAGTTTAATCATCGGTTCATAAATAATACAAGAAAGTATCCTCTTGATTAATTAACAATGGAGTTATTAATTTCAAATATTGTAAAGTTATACTGTAAAACTAATTTACGTATTGTAAACTAACGAATGCGCTATCAAAAAGCCTTATTTCCGTCTCATTATTTTCTATAATAATGAAATTTAATAGATAGATAGATATATATATATATATAAATATATCTATTTATAATTCTTTATATTTCTAACTTGCATGATTATTATGCAAGTAACGTTAAATGAACAAAACAAACAAACAAACACTTTGTGCATTATTCTCAAAAGATCAATCAATCGATTATTGGAGATCGATTGCGTTGAACATGGACATTATTTTTGTAGAAATAAATTAAACAAAAAAACAAAATCAATTTCGTCAATTTTCTTCAAGATAAAATTATATATTGTGAATGATGTGATGATGTTAACACAACTTGACTGTTTTTTTTATTTCCTTTTTTTTTCTTTATCAATGTATAATCCATTTTTCTTTTTTTTTTTTTTTTTGAATAAAATTCGGATGTAAGTTCTGAATGGGGACACGAATTAACTCGAAATGATTTTTAATATATATATATATATATATATATTTCGAGAAACATAAATAAACAAGAATAGTGTTTTGTATTTAGAAATATATGTGTGTATATTTAAGTAGGTGATATTATGGCTCTTTTTTTTACAGATTGTGCATTTACAGTTGTAACATGTGTGGTGTGTTTAAATATTTAGTCCCTTTACAGAATCTTTCTTTTCGAACGAAAAAAAAACAAAAAAAAAAAACAAAACAAAACAAATTATCAAAAATAAAATGTCCCTGATCAACGAATTGATCTTTGACGATGAATTTTTCGATCGATTGATCCAAATACTACACACACACACACACACAAACACAGGAGGATAAATAATAAAAATTGAATAACGTCCAAGATGTATTTATTTGTGTCTTTATTATTTTAACTCTTTTTTTTTTTCTTCTTCTTCTTTATTCTCATGTAAATAAATAGCCGTAAACTGCATAATGTAATAAGTAATTCGATTATACTTATCGACACTTAGTATAAAATAATAATAATAATAATAATAATAATAATAATAATAAAACAACAACAACAACTATCGATAAATAATTAATAATATTATTATGAAACTGTAAATAAAATTATTTTGTATGCCAAAATAAACCAAATGTATAACACTGAGATACACGATGTTAAAAAAAAAAAACACGAAATGCATTACACCGAATAATTACACACACAAGAGAGAGAGAGAGAGAGAGAGAGAGAGAGAAAGAGACAACCAACGCTGAAAAAGAAAAAAGAAAAAAAAATGTATAACAAAGCTTCTTGCTGAGAGTGAGAGAGAGAGAGAGAGAGAGAGAGAGAGAGAGAGAGAGAGAGAGAAACGATCGTGTAAAAATAGACATTATTCGCATATACGTAAAAAAAAATATAAATTAAAAATATGTGTCCTCCTCGATTGTTCTCGGGTGGTTAACATATTTACTTGCAACGTAAACAAAACAAAAAGAAAAAAAAAACCACACACACAAAAAATAAGAAAAAAAAAAAGAAAAAAAAGAGAATATATTAAA